GGTCCATCCCAAACTGGTTCAGTTCTGAGCACATCAGATCCTGCATTCAGCTTCCTGGGTTATCCCATCTTCCCACATCTGTCCCACATCTTCTCCACTCACTGCTGTCAAAAGCCATAAAACCCAATAATAACAACGTATGTGACCACAAATAGGGTGATGAGTTTGAGGTAGACCTGGAATTCAGTGTCATTAGAGGTTATGGCATTCCTGATATCCTTGTGCTCCTCCCAGAGTGTATTTCTGTTGGAACACATTGGTAATGTGTGTCCATCACACGCCACCTCTAAGAAAGACAACAAAACCGTGAGCAAAGGTGGAAATGTTTAGCTCTAAAAGGTTAAATGTGATGCCTGAAGCTGGAAAACTCACCTTTGAAGGAATGTGAATATAATCCCCCACCCCCTGAGCTTTGTTATGGGTTTCTTTTTTTAGGTCTGAAGATGCCCAGCAGGGATCAGGGTTTAGTGCACTGGGCACAGACAGAGCAAAAAGGCAACTTTGCTTATTGTATGAAATGCCAGCCAGAGGTGGTGAAAATCAGGTATAAATCCAGGGAACCCAGACAAGGAAAGCACAGCAGAATTAAGCTTCCCTAGCATGTCCTAGACATAAAACATCCCAGACATAAAACCCCTTAGAGGTGGGGGGTGCAGATTGAAGTTCTGTGCTTCTGAAACAACTATTCCTGCCTAGGGCAGATGTTTTACCATTAAAACATTGCTGGGTGCAGGTCTTTGCCAGTGCAAACGGTGACTAGAGGAATCAGTCCTTTTCCAGGATGGCCATTTGGGTAAGGGATTAGGTTCAGGTACTTTGTACCACTTCCCACAGGTGACTTGCTCAGCATGTGACAATGACATCAGGTGTAGGAGGGGCTAGTTTTGAAGGGCTGGAAAAGAAACCAAACCAAACCTGGAGGCAGATCATGTTCAGAACTGGTTGTAAATGAGTGCAGTGCTCCCAGTTCCCTGTAGGATCAGATGGATGCACGTGCTGGGATCACATGGCTGCTCAGCACCTCAGCTCCCCATCCAGGGGGAAGCTCCTGTGATGACATCCCTGCTTTCTCTGCCCTTCCCAGAGATCAACAACGGCGTGGAGACCACAGATGAGCTGTCCTTCTGCTCAGAGAATGGCTTTGCCAACGAGATGGTGACGCCCACGGATCAGCGGGACACCAAAGTGCGGCTGAACTGAGGGCTCTGCTCCGGCCCCGCGCACGCTCCGGCAGCGAGAGCCGTGCTCTCCTGCTTCCCCCGGGATGGGAACCTCTGAGGAACTGCTGCTCGGGCAGAAACCCGCTCCCACTCCCCACCACTGGCTGCTCCACCTCCCTGGTTGTGAGGCTGGGGGGCTTATTTTTGTAAATATGTAGAAAATCTCGATTTTTTTTTTTTTTGTTTGTTTGGTTTTTTTTTTTAGTGTAATTTTTCCAGGGCATGAGTGGGAATACCGTGTTCATTAAATCCTCAACCTTATGGCTGAAGTTCTTTGAATCTTGATGTGAGAGCCTGAGTCCCCTTGGGGGGTTTTGGGAGCCACACGTTGGACGTGTGTCCCCTTCCTTCCCCTCTCCCTAATCCAGTCCTTCCCCTGGTGCAGCGACTGTGTAGCTGAATGTTGTGCTGTTCTTGTGACGTGTTGATTTTGTTATGGTTTCTTTTCTTCTGTTTCTCCCTCGTCCCCCTTTTCCTGGGCAATGAAATCGTAGCTCTGATGCTGCAGGAGGCTGCTGGGAGGAGAGAAGCTCGCCTAGGAGAGGAATTGATGCTGCTCTTCCCTGCTGAGGTTCAGAGCCAGGGAAGGGCTTGCACTGGCTCAGTCACTGGGACACCTGCTCCTTGTCCCATCCTCCTTCCCCAAAGCCTGGCTGCTCGATGGCCTTCTTGGAATGTCCTGCCAGAGTTTTGAAGGCAAATCCTGAGCATTGGCCGTAGATTGGGCTCTACTGGCAGCAGGGTTTTTATTTTTCCTTTTTTTCTCTCTTTTTCCCAAGCTGGGCTCTGCTGGGAGCCCGAGTGGCTCGTGACAAAAATGCCATGGGCACCATCACTGCTGGGATCTGGCTGAAGTGCCTGCCACTCCAAGTGGCATTTGCAGTCACTCCTCGCTTCCCTGCTGGAATAGGAGGTGGTGGTGGTGCAGTGGGAGCTTCCCCCTCTCTGGGCTGAGGGTGGAGAAGTTGTAAATAGTCTGGAAGGCGAAGCAGCCCCGGGATATAATTTATTCCTGCAAGGAGACCTTTGCTCCTTGCTGTAAAAGCAGGATCTCTAACGCTGCACATTGGTGTCCTCCAAAGGAGGGATGGTCTTGCAGCAGATGCTGACAAGCTCTGAAGGCAGAGGCTCCCATCAAGTCCCCGATGCAAAAGGCTTTAACCCAAAATCTTAGACCAGAGGTTAAAAGTAAAAAAAAAAGAAGGTTAAAAATAGAGAGGAGAAGGCAGTCTGGGGGATGTTGATATTGTTGGCATTCCACACCCAAAGCCATGAGAGAAACAGCCTTGAGAAGTTTGGTTTTGTTTTGGAACTGCTCTGTCCTTTTAAGCTGAAATCCAGTGGCATTTTGAAATCTTGAAGTTTGGGCTTAGTGTGTAAGAGTTGGGGGGCAAAAGTGGCTGAAAAACCCACGTTGATAATGACAGTGTGTCTTTTGATGCTCTAAAAAAACACCACCTAAAATCATGACACTATTCCTTTGCATCTCATCCAGGTTTTTGTGAGTGTAAGTGGAATAAGCCCCTGGTCCTTCTTACCTTGCCCAAATACTGTCCTTCTCCATGGTACTTTCAATACAGTGAAATACAGCGTGTCTTGTTCTGCAGAACTGCGAGATTTTTGGTGGATTTGAAGGTATTTTGAGAATTAAGTTGCTTCTCCCTTTAACGTGGTGCTGTATTGAAACATTCCTGGTGGATTGTCATTGCCAAGTGAGAGATGTTGTTAAACCTCAGCATCTGTTGGTGATCACCTGCATGTTCTGTTTCTATCCTTGGAGATGACTTTATTGAAAGGTTAAGTGCTTAAAAGCTTGGAAGTGATAAAAGCAAACCAACAAAGAGTTGTTTTCACAATTTACTTTTTTTCCTTTTTTATTTTTCTTATGACAAGACCCAAATTTCATGCATAATGCACTGACTGTTGTTATTCTGAATATTTGCTACCTTTTTTTTTTTTTTTTTTTTTGGGAAAAATGAAAGGATGATACTTTTTTTTGATGAGACTAGAGCTAGACCAAAATAAACTCTGCAATGCTCTGTGAAATAAACTATCAGTATTCCCCTGCCAGCCTATCATTGTTTTGTGTTGCGGTGCTACACAGAAGTTTCCACTGCCCCATCCAGAGTTTTTCCATTATTTTCAATGGGAAATTGAAAAATGAGCTGTCGTGCTCAGCTCATTTTAACCCCAAAGGTTGAAAATGCCCTGGGAGCAGTTGGAATCAAGAGCAAATCACACAAAGACCAGGCTGGGAGAGAATATGAGATGTTACAGAGATTAACTTTTCCCAGTGCATTTTTAAGTTAACACAGAACCCGTCTCTTCCTCTCAGACCTCCTATCTTTTAATTTGGGTTTTTTCTCAGAAATAATTCCCTGCCTAGTCTGAAAAAAAGACCCCAACCAATTATTTAGGGTGCTTTGGAATGGTGTCACATGGGTTCAGTTGGTCACTTGGAGCCCTTGGCACGAGATCTCTTAGCTCTTAGGTTCGCGGAGAAGCTCGACGTGAACACGAATGGACAAACAATGATAAATAAGTAAATTTTATTTATTAAAATCCCAAATCGCGCTGCCCTTTCACCGCTCCCCACCGGAGGGCCC